ACTTAGTTATATACAGGTGATTCAAATAAAAATAGTAAATAGTATGAAAATGTAAAAACACGATTTTTATATTACTACTCCGCAATGAATTTTATATCCACAACAAATATTATTATTCAACAATGAATAAATAAATAATCACACGTTAAAATTAATATAAGAATTTACTATAATAATGCATATCCACAAAATTTATAATACAATAATAACATTATAATGAATATATGAATAATTAAACATTAATATTTACATTATAAATACTTGAACAATACACAGATATTATATTCATTGTAGAATAGTAATATAAACATAGTACTTTTACTTTTTCATAATATTTACTGTTTTTATTTGAACTTATATATATATATATATATATATATATATATATATATATATATATATATATATATATATATATATATATATATATATATATATAGAGAGAGAGAGAGAGAGAGAGAGTAAATTACACGAATGGTCCCTATGGTTTAGCGTAATTTACGCGTTTGATCCCTAACTTATTTTTTTAACTCGGAAGGTCCATACTGTTTGTTTTTGTTACGCGTTTCGTCCCTACTGTTTGTTTTTGTTACACGCTTGGTCCCCGTCTTACCCAAAACGATTATTATTTAAATAGGAAAAAATGATGAGGTAGGTAAGGTAAGGTGAGAGGGGTGTGGTTGGGGTGTGTTTATTTAAATAGATTAAAAAATCAAGGGCAAAATAGTGTTTTTATGTATGAAAGGGACCAAGTGCGTAACGAAAACAAACAATAGGGACCTTCCGAGTTAAAAATATAAATTAGGGACCAAATGCGCAAATTACCCTAAACTATAAGGACCATTCGTGTAATTTTCTCATATATATATATATATATATATATATATATATATATATATATATATATATATATATATATATATATATATATATATATATATATATAAGTAAAAGATCAAATGAGAACCGATAAAAGTTAACAACAATTTTCATTAAGGTTATTTTTGTAAATTGAATTTAATGCTATAAAACATACATACATTTCATTGTTATAATCAGATGTAACTTAAAATATTTTAAACTCTTTCAAAAGCTCTCCCACCATTATTGAAGAACACAAACACAAATATCACCACCACCACCAACTACCGCCGACGGCAACACCACTACTAACTACCACAAACAGCAGCACCACCATAGTAAGGTGGAACACCACCCGATGATCGACGTGTCTATTTCATCCTCCACCTCTACTTCTCCAAATCTATGACTACATCCATTTTTTATCTGTTTTGCTCCCGTAAACCATTAGATCTGCATCAAATTTCACCAGATTGGATGTCTTGGGTATTTTGAGGATAGATCTAGCACTGCCCTATCCTCCATCCCGCACTAATGTTCACCTGGCTTGCTCCGATCTACAACCACATCAACTCCGTCGTTACATTCTATGACGACTTCACCTTCATCATCCTCCGTCTCTACTTCACTAAATCTACGATCGTATCCATGTGTTTTTCTCTTTCACTCAAATGAACCACAAGATCTGCATCAGATCTCACCATATTTGCATCAGATCTCACCAGATCTGCATCAGATCTCACAAGATATGTATTACTTGTCACCATATTTGCATCAGATCTCATTAAATCTGATGTGTTTGTGCATTTTTATGTTAGATTTGGCTAACCACCATTTCTGATGAGATTGAAGGAGTTACTACGAGATCTGATTTCGTGTTCTTCAAGTTATGCAATTGACTTTGTGTTCTTTATCTTAGATCTCTGAAAAATGTTTGTTGTTTTTCATCTCAAGATCTAAAGAACCATTTTTTCTCCAGATCTACGATTACATCCATTTTTTCTCTGTTTTGCTCTGATGAACCATCATATCTCCACTGTCAGACCTCACTGGAGAGCCAAACAATGTCGCCTGATGTCAAAGATTATGAGGCTCTTATTGTTCTGGCCAGATCTGATGTTTTATGCGGTCTGATTTATGTGGTGCTCATAACGTGTTTGATGAATGCCGAAATGAAATTAGGTAAGTTATTAAGTTGTGAATATGTGTTTTTTATGTGTTAATTTGTGAATACGTAAGTTATTAAGCTGTGAATGTTTATTTTAGTCACTAAGTTGTGATTTAGTGTCTGAAATGTTGAATTAAGCTGTGAATTAGTATTTGAAATGTTGAACTAATCTGTGAATTCTGATTTATTTTTATCCAGATATGCTAAATGAAGGATGTTGGCAAAATATTGTAGTTAGTGGTGTTAATGTTGGTAGTGATGGTTGAGTAAGGATATTATCTATTTCTTTCAACTTCTTAATTGATTTCAGATAAATTATCATTTCTTATGATTCATGTATATGTTTTTTATGTTTGTTTCCGAAATATGCCATAATTATGTATCTATTAAATTGTGAATGAGTTGTTTAATACAATGATATATAAGATTATACTTATAAATAAGTTGTGAATACATTTTATTAAACTGTGAATTTTATGTATTTAGCTGTAAGTTTTATTCAATGTATAATATAATAAATTCACAATTTAATACACAAAATGAATCTAAATATGAACGTATAAATGTAAGTTTTAAGTTGAGAATATAGTTGTAAATATACAATTTTTGTTTATTAAAATTTGAAATTGTTGTATTAAATTGTGAATTTTGTATATTAAATTGTTAATTGACTGTATTAAGTTGTCATTGTCTATATTAAGCTATGAACTTTTTATAAATTTTGTGTTAATTTGCTTCCAAAATATGAAAAAAAATAAACAATATACACATTTCCGATTTTCTCTAAGTTGACTAAAATATGTAAATTTTAAATTTTGAATATTGTATAATTTAAATTTTGAAAGAAACACTATTTTCTAGATATTAAGGTATAAATGTAAGTTTTACACTAACAATATGGCTATAAATGTGTAATTTTATATTAAATTGTGAATTTATTATATTAAACTGTGAAATATATGTATTAAACGGTGAATTGACTGTATTAAGATATGGATAGTTATGAGTTTTGTGCTAAAGTATGAATTATTTATATATAAATGCTTTTATTAATTTTCTTGTGAATATTTATTTTTTGAGTTGTATAAATATATAAGAATATAATATTTGTATTCCATTAAACTTTAAATGAGTGAATTAATAAGTTTATTAAACTGTAAATATACCATTTAAGTTTTCAATGCATGATTTTATAAACAGATCTAATTTGGAAGGAAAGATTGTTGCAACGGTGTCACAAGTGATTGATGGTGGTGTATAGTAGTTGGTGGTGTTGGTAGAGTTTGGTTTTGTCTTTTCTGAATCTTTGAATTAATATAAAATATATTGTATTAACTTGTGAATTTCATCTAGTAAACTATAAATGAACTATATTAAATTGTGTATTATATACATATTGTGTTAAAATATGAACGAAAATATTAAACTATAAAAATTACGATTTTGCCAAATATCAAGATTTTTACATATTTAATAAGTATAGATTCACATATTTAATAACTATGAAAAGAATAATCTTAGAGGTTTTAATCTTTTTTGGTTCTCATTTTATATATATATATATATATATATATATATATATATATATATATATATATATATATATATAGAGAGAGAGAGAGAGAGAGAGAGAGAGAAAGAGAGAGAGTTAAGTTCATATATAAACATTATATATTATGTGAACATATGACGGATTCTAAACCAAACGTTTGATAGAGAGATTACAGTAAAATAACATAAACATCAATTAGTTAGATTTATCTATTCCTTAAATTTAGCTATCAACACGTTACATATTTATGGTCTTATCTTTCATCATCATCTATTTTCTCCAATATGTAAATTGATTTATAGAAACATTAATAATGATCTTCTCTAATCTATAAATCGATTTTAAGGAAGACGTGTGATTTTTTTGATATTTGATATCATATTGGTGCGATTACGTTTTTAAGGAAGCGCTGTCACATTCTTCATGAATATGTAGTATATTGATAATTTTAAAAGAAGAATACGTGAATCTGTATATGCAATCAGAATGAAGCATATTGGTTTTAAAAGATTAATACGTGGTTTTGTAAATGGAATCATATTCTTATATAATATGTTTATAGAGATTATTTGTTATTACATTCTTAAAGAATTTGTTTTTATCTATAAGCTTTTGAAAATATTTATTTAGTGCTACGCAATTGAGGGTTTGAATAATTAATTAACAAATTCTTGAAGAATAAATAGTGTATTATAATTAGCACATTCTTAAAGCATATAATATGTGTATCATACTTTTTAACAGAAAAAAAAAAACTGATATGGTTATTTATAACAAATGTATTCATCTAGACAATTATTAAAGCATTAAATATTTCCGCATTAGTGGTCCATCCTAATTTAAATTGCTACATAATGACACAGTTTCCTTGTAAATGATTTTATGAGTAAATTAATTAAAAAAAAAATTAATCACTAGTTAATTCAACAACCATTCTTAGCCATTCGATTTTTCTAATCAAACGGTTCATATTTAATCATACATTCACACTATATTTAAATTTCACATTTAATCTTAACCCTATATATATATATATATATATATATATATATATATATATATATATATATATATATATATATATATATATATATATATATATATATATATATATATATATATATATATATATATATATATATAAAAAGAAACTATTTACAACACCCGCTTCAAGAAACTTAATTATTTCATTTTAGATATAACACGGCAATGTACGTATTCTTTCTTAAATTGGCAAGAAGAAAAGAATGTGAAATGTTGGAACGTCGTTTTGTGAGCCGTCGTGGGTTTAGATGTTTACGCGGTGAAGGAAAACTCTGTTTGTTGACTTTCCTGATTTGTGTCCTTTTTTAATTCCAATATTCTACGTTCTAACCAAACAAATAATTAACATTCTAGAGAAAAAATCTCTTATTTGAATTACAAATCTTGCCTTGCAAGCATGTTAAAAAGTGCAGTAAAAAGAGCATCTCGTTTTTGAGATCTTACTTCTTCTCTCATCATTCTTTGTTCTTCCTTCTCTCTCCACCTCTGATCCAACATCATTCTTTCCTTCTCCAATGCCATCATCGTCTGCCTCCATTCCATCTCCTTCGATCTCCTTTCTTCTTCTTTCTCCTCGAATGCTTTCATCCATTGCTTCTCTATCTGCATTTGTTGCTTCATGAATTCCCCCAGTATCTCCTTCGTGTTACTATAGGTTCCGATGTTGCTACTCTTTATAGCCACCTTTTTCTTTTTAGTCTTTTCTAAATCGCTTTCCTCATCATCATCAGAAGAAAACGGCATCATTCTCTTTTTAGATCCTTCTGTTTCTGTCCATAACATCCTTTGCATTCGAGCTGTGAAAATGGCGTCCAGATCATTGTAGAATGGAAATTGTTGCCTCACAGAATCATCTTCTACCGTTTCGCATCCCTACATTTTTTCATTCCAAGAAACCAACTTTAGTTTCTTCCATAAATACACATAATCACCGTTGGATTATCTAATAATAGAAAGGAAATCCCTACAAAATTTACAAGGTTTTAGTACCCTATACCTAAGATGATTTTTCATTTTACTCAATATGACCTAATTAAAGTAAATGTTTACTTATTGATTGATCATTTTACTACCTCTAACACGTGTCTAGGGTTTATAACATGATTTTCATATTATAACATTTGTGCCAGTTATGCATGTACAAGGAATTTTCTCTAAGACTCTAAAACCATTCGAATGTGAGCAAATCTAGAGGATATTGCATAGTTGTCTTTCGACCATCTATGCACATGTCTTTATAATTAAACTAACAGAATCATAGATTGGATTTGGTTAAACTTTAGGTTTTCCCAAGTAAACTATAGCTAAATCTTGAGCAAAATCCTACTCCATGATTTCTAAGGGAATTTTCATTTCTAAAAGAAAGTATATGGAAAAAACATAACTTTTTAGGGTTTAAGCGGCTGGTTTTGATCTATCACAAGGGGTTTGAGATTCGATAATAATAGGATGACATGAGTACTCATACTTTCTTCTAAAAGGCAAGAGCTTTTATCAACGAAAACATGATACTATAACTCATACGTAGTAACCGAGCCTTTTGAACAAGTAGCTGGTCATTGTTCAATTAAGACTCGATAATGATATGTTACTGTGTATAATTCTTAAAACTGTCTAGGGTTTGAAACAATCTTTTTCATGCTAGCTAGTTTATCTTTTCGAAGATTTGGAAACGAAGTGTTTCCTTATGTATAATCATTTCTTTCAGATCAAATCTGGATTCAAAAGACACAGAAATGCATAGTGCAAACCTTATAACGTGTAACAAGATTCTTCCATTTTGCTTTGCACTGCTCAGCACTGCGATTATACCCCCTCTCCTTCATCTTCCTCGATATCACTTCCCAAAGAAGCTTATTACGTTTAATTTCCATGAACCTTGGATCCAGTTCGGCTCGTATCATTAGGAACTCCCCTGTTTCTTGAACGCTCCATTGTGGAAACCTTTCGCCACCACCAGCTCCACTGCTTGGGTCGACACCAACACTGACATGATGAAGGTGTCCATGGTCCATAAATATACGATATTTCTTGAAGGATCTGGAAACCGGAAAGAAAACTTTTGTTGGTCTTTCTGGATATGGATCTGAAAGGAAAAAAGATAGGTTAAGAAAGATATATAAGGCTTTATAAGATGGTTATTAGCGTGTTTGTGTGAATTGAAGGTGTGAAAATGGTTATATAAACAAATATAATATTTGATGTTAATTAGGTGGCAAAAATGAATGCCAATTTGTAATTTGGTTGCTTTTTTTTTTGCATGTTATATATATATATATATATATATATATATATATATATATATATATATATATATATATATATATATATATATATATATATATATATATATATGGGACGGTTCATTTGAGATTAAAAAAAAAGTAGATATCTTGAGATTCAACCTCTGTCACATATTTTTCATTTGCCATTCTAATGCTCTAGCGTACCGGCAGTAACAGGGTATGCCTAATCATAAATGATTATATGGTTGAGAGGTATAATCATATACGATTATACATGTTTATACGTATATGCCTAATCATAAATGATTATACATATATGTATGTTCACAAATTGAGTAATAATAAATGATTATGATAATTGATGGCAAAATAAGTGGTGGTAACAGAGGTGACGGTGGTATATGTATCGGAAGTGAGAGTGATGGGGTCGACTGGTGTCAGAGGTGGCGGTAGCGCTGATGGCGGTAGCGGTTATGGTTGTGGGGATGGTGGTAGAGGAGAAAGGAATGGGCGGTGCTGTATAATCATTTATGATTATACCAGGCCGTCGCGCTGGTATGTTGGAGGCTTAGTGCGACAAATATGAATTACATGGTTGAGGTTGAATCTCAAGATCTCTATTTTATTTTTAATTTCAACGGAACCTATATATATATATATATATATATATATATATATATATATATATATATATATATATATATATATATATATATATAGTAAATTACACTTAGTCCCTATATTTTAGGATAATTTACAGGTTTGGTCCTAATTTATTTTTTTAACTCGAAAGGTCCCTACTGTTTGTTTGTGTTACGCACTTGGTCCATGTCTTACATAAAAAGACTATTTTACCCTTGATTTTTTAATTTTTTTTAAAGAAACACACCACAACCCAATCTCTCTTACCTTACCTTACCTTACCTACTCTACTATATTTTCCTATTTAAATAATAGTTCTTTTAGGTAAGACAATGACTCAATGCATAACAAAAACAAACAGTAAGAACCAAACGTGCAAATTACCCACAACCATAGGGACCATTTGTGTAATTTACTCATATATATATATATATATATATATATATATATATATATATATATATATATATATATATATATATATAACCATTATTAACAAGGTACCACAGAACTTATTGAGTGCAGAATCATAACCATCAACAAGCAAATGAATGTTTGTAGATTTGTATATTCGATGCACCTACGTCAGATTATACAAAAAAACTCATATCATTTCTTGGTTTTTAAGCAATGCTTTTTGTCAGAAAAAAAATCGAATATACCGTTGTTCATGATTTTTCGTCATTTATATATATATATATATATATATATATATATATATATATATATATATATATATATATATATATATAACAACTTTTTTCAAAAAAAAAATAATAATTAAAAAAGAAATAAAAAACTCACTTTGGTTTGTTGTTTTTTTCAATATTTAAGTTTATTTTAATCCCAAAAAAACTAAATATACTAAAAAATTTAATTGTCTCTATGAATTAACATCACCATCGATTAAAAAACATATTTATTTTTTCAGATTCACATTACGAATCTAAATTGTAAATATGAATATTGATATATTTTTTTCTTCGATAAAAAATAAACTTTAATTTTTCAAAAAACAAAGAAAATGAAATGGATTTTTTTGATAAAAAAACTTCGTTTTTTATATATTAAAATGGATCTTTATTTAAAGAAGGCAAAAAGTCATAAACAATAGTATATTCGATTTTTTTTTCAACAAATAACATGGCCTAAAAAATAAAACTAAAAAACAGAAGTGTGTTTTTGGTATATTTGGCACATTTGCATCCAATGTACATATATACAACTCTTCTCTTACACTACAAGAAATAATGGCAATAGTGGCGACGCCCACTATTAGTGGCGACATGTAATTTGCGAGTTACGTGTCGCTGCTAATAGTGTGTGTCGTCGGTAATGGGTCATTGATATTGGTAGAAAACCACAATCCTCATCAAAAAAATCTGGTTAACCCTATCTGTTGATCTGGACCCAATCAAACAGTTGAAAACAAAGTTCCCGCAATGTTATTCATGGTGAAGGTAATGGTGTAGACAACGTCGCCGCTAATGCTCCAAAAAAGGCGCTATTTTTTCCGTTGCTAAAACCCTAGTATCAACGCTAATACCTCTCCATCGCCGCTAAAGGGCGTCGCCGCTAAAAGTCATCGCAAATATACCCCTTCTCTTCCACTAATTTCTATAATCTTTTTCTTTCATCCTTCCTATTATCGATGACCAAATACCGAAGAAGAAACACCAGCAACGCAGTCTCTATCGTCGGTGACGACAATAAAGCCATTACCGACGCGGTAGGTGATTCCAGATTTTGTTTCCGATTTCTTTTCTGTCCACCAAATTTCTAAGTGATTATCTATTGATTTGGGCGTTTGATTTTGTATATTAAGTTTTGTTGACCTCAAATTTTGGGTTGTCATCACCACCACCAAAGCTGTCAAATTTTTTTTGCCACAACAACACCACCAACATTTTGATTTCGTTCCACCACAAGTGCTATTCCGTTTCATTAAGTATTATAATCTAGTTCTTCATATTGTATCATTATGTATGTATGTAATGTGTATGATGTAAGTATATGAATTAGAATGCATAAATGTATGCAATGTGTATATATTGGTTTGTAATGTGTATATATGTATGGAAGAAATGGTAAAAAAAAGTAGGATGCTATAATGAATATGTAATATGTGTAGGATGTATGTTTAAGTGTATTTTACTATATTGTAGTATGTATGATGTGTGGAAAAATGTATGTATGATGAATATATGTATAAAAGAAATTGAAAAAAAGTAGGATGCAATAATGGGGAAAATGACAAAAAGTATGATGCTATAATGAATATGCAATATGTGTAGGAAGCATTATTAAGTGTATGTGTATGTATAATGTGTATTTATGTATGTAATGTGTATATATATTTATCAAGGGCTTTTTGGAAAGTATAATGCTATAATGGAAAAAAAATTAGTTTCTATATTGTACAGCTTTAATTTTGCAGGCTATGTATGATGTTTATTTAGGTGATACATTTTTACATGATGGGAGATGTAATAGGCCTCGGGCATGGAGGTGATGGAGCCAGGTATCCACCACCTCCAATATGTTTTGGTCGCAGACTGCACGAACAAGATGGTAAGTATTATTATGATATATTTATTAGCTATTTTTATTCATTTATTATAAGCTATCCAGACTAATGTTTTAAATTCTCTTTTTTCAGCAGAGCTTCCTAAAAGAAGAAGGGGTCTATCAAAAAATATCTAGCTAGGAAAATTGATACGTCGAAACAAGGGAAAGCCCATAGAGTTGGATTTCGACAGGGAGATCACATATTCCCCTATCAGAAAGCGTGGTAATTGGTTTACCCATTAGATTGGGAGATATATGTGGATGAACATCCCTTTCAGCATATCTGGTTGGGACAATGTTTCCCCACTTTAAGGAATGCAACAGTCGTGCATCTAAAGGTAACTTGGATAATATTTTAAGTGTAGTTGTGATTGGTATTTAATTAACTAACTTTTTTGTATTTGCAGAATAAGGTTGATTTGGATAAGGTTAACTTGGATCCCGAGCATGCTCAGTTGTTGCGGAGCATTGATGTGACTCTTGCAAAATTTTACAGAGGCTGGAAAAGTAAATCATGTACTTATTTTAAGGGTATTGGGGGCCTAAAGATATCACACTAGCATTAGACCACCCCTCCCCCAAGGGTATGTCACATGAAAATTGGGTGCAGGCAGTCAAACATTTTCAAAATCCTAAATTTTTAAAGCGTTTGACATCAAACAAAGATGTTTGTGCAAAACAAGTTGTAAACAGATGTGACTGTGCTCTTATAGCAATGCATGTTTCAAAGAAGTAAGTTATGATATATTTAACTATTTATTTAAAGTATAATTAATCTAATTATTTTATGTTAAATAGGGCATCACTCGAATCGAATTATTTTGTAACGCTAATACCAATTGCCAAGGGGTATTTTGTAGTCCTGCAGTCGAGCAACCATATGTAACTGGTTAATTTGTATTTTCATATAAGTGCTTGTATTGTCAAGGGGTATTTAGTAATCTAATTTTTATGGTGTTTATCATTTTTTGAAAATACAATTCGCTTTACTCCAATAGATCAATCAACAAACCCAAGCTTCTTCTAAAGCAAGCGTTCTAACAACAAATGATATGAAAACTTGTTTTGAAAGAATATTGGGTGTTCGACACAGACATATCAGAGGCATTGGGCGTAAACCTTCTACGGTTATGTCTATGTATGATCAGGAACAACCGATGACACAGCCACCACCACAATCACAAGTAATTGTTAGTTTAAGTTGAAAGTACAATGCTATGATGGAAAAATGAAAAAATACAATCTTATAACATATATACAATCTTGTGTATCATGTAGTTTGATATGTTGTGTATGATGTATGTTTAAGTGTATTTGGAAAGTAGAATGCTATAATGATATGTTGGTTATAGTTTGATATGTTTATATTTTTTATCTTGGTAAATTTTGGAAAGTATAATGCTATTATGATATGTTGGTAATATATATTTTTTTGTTTGTAGTTGGAAATTCTGCATACAATACTAAAGGACCTGTCCTGCGCTGCGGCACTAGAAGACTGGTTTCGCTCATTGCTGTCATGAAATGAAAATTAAGAAAACAAGGTGAGTGATGAGGAC